TGAATAAGTAATAGACTTTTACTCTTAATAGATTTATAAACAATTGAGAGAAGTAATAATTTATCTTCTATTCATCTAAAAAATAAAATCAAGCACATATGTCCAAATTTGTAGAACATTTACTTACTTAGCAAGTCATGCATTGACTATTATTATTCGTTTAATATTATAATTATAAAATAATATACTATAGGTATATCATTATTTTATATACTTAATAGGCTTATTAGAATCATATAAATTACCTCTAAAATTTTTAATCCACGTTATTTTTCTTGGATAAAGAATCCTGCAATGAAATTCTACATTCTTTTTCATAACACTTCACAATTACTTTTATAATAAAACAAATTAATTGGAATTATTGGCGATATTTAATATTACAAAAATATTTTATGCATATGTGTTTATTTTGATATAAAGATATGTAAGATTTGTATACTGAGTTATTCCCACGTCGTTCTAATAGTCATACCTTTACTATTATTATTCGTTTAATATTATATTAATAATTAGTAGTATACCATAGGTGTATTATTATTTTACATAGTATAATTTAATCATATAATTTATTTTTAGATTTGTGCTCCTTAAGTTTCCTTGATAATAATTCATTCACAATTAATTTTATTATAAAAAATCATTTAGGTCAATTGCTGATATAATTCAAAAATATTCTCATATTTTATGCATCTGTTTTTTTTTTAATTTATAAATATGTATGGATTTTCACATTATTTTATTCTATTTGCGTACTCTCTCGTCCGCCGCCCTCAATTTAACATAAATATATTTTAAATATTACAAAATTTAATGATTTTATAGAATTTAAATTTAGTAGTAAATGAAGTCTTTATCGAACATTTCCTTCAATTAAAATTTAAAAAAATATTATTGTAAACATTAGAATATCGCCATTAAACCATTCACTACAAGATTCAAGTTAGAACTGAGCGCAGGTCGCGCAACCCTTCACTATAAAAAACGGAAGGGTAAAAAACAACCCTATCATAAAGGCATGTTCTGCATATACAATAGCCAGTGCTGGAAAATGATCTCTTAAAAAATCCCTCTCAAACTAAATACTTAAAGCAAAAAAATGGTGGAGAAATGAGTTATTAAAGACTTGTTTTAATATCATGAACTTACTCCAATTTAAATTTAAACTTTACCTAATTGTAAATATCATTATTTTATTTTCATTGACATCAATTTTAAGCATTTTTCTCGTTTCTAGATATGTGTTGTGAATGTAGTTTTTGGAGTTTGTAAATTTATCAAATGGACAAAGATAAAATAATAAATTTTATTAATAAAAAAATAATAATATATTTAATTATATATTATTATTATTATAATATAATTATATATTATTTAATTTATTTATGATTAGAAAAAATATTTTGCTGTTTGTGAAATGAGTCGCAAAAATATTTGAAATAGAACTCTATAAATATTTTCTTTAGTATCTTTATTGTTACCTAAATTAATAATTATTTTACATAAATAATTAATACATCTTATATTAATCATGTTCCTTATAATCATATAAATATTTATTATATAATTATTACTATGAACACACTTTGATATATAAATATTAAATTACACATTTCTATTTTTTTCTATTTAAAATATTCCAATATTCTGAGCGAGCCCTGCATATATTTGCAATGTGATTAAACCCATTGCACAAGCAATAAGACCCCGTACTAATAAGACGCACCATGGTCCAACAATAATGGCTTGAATGACGCTGTCTATCACAAGACCTCTCATTGCAGTCAATAATAATAAGATCGTAATTATAGGTACAAAAGCCTTTTTAAGGTCGTGCCGGGAGAATAACCAGACTAAAGTGACTGTTGTTATGTGTTGAACCTAGGAAAAAGATCAAGGGAATAAAATTTTTGAGCTTCTTAATTCCATTTTTAAGAAATCTATTTTGAATATTTTTTCCTATCTTCATACCAAAGCTAAATTTCCTTCCAAGCATTTTTGCATGTAAGTCCATTGGAATTCTGCACCTCTTGCACCAGTCCATAAAAGAAGCCCTTTCGTTAAAATAGCTTCTGCAGCAGCCCATCCCAAACCTGCTGTTATCAATTTACTATGACCTTTTCCTGGTATACAAGATAGTACCAATCGCAATCCTAATAGATCTGCAAAATCTACACTGCTTCTTAAAAACTCCTATTGAAACATGAAAAATAATTATTAAGTTATTGAATGTTAAGGTATCTAAACTCAGTTTTGAATGCAAAAAACTATTTTGTGGCAATGTTATTAAGAATACGTACATATAAAAATACTGTATAACCAGTCGATCCAAGTGAATCAGCAGAATCAGGAAAGAAAGTAGCTAATATTAACATTTTACACAACTGTGTAAACATATATATTCCACCGGCTTGGAAACATTTCCAAAAAGCGCCATATTCTGATCTGAAAGAATAGAAGTAGAAACATTTTATCTTAAAAAGTAACTTCAAACATTAGGAGATTTCATAAATATATATATTATAATTATAATAAATAAGACGTTGTAGGGCTTTTATATATATATATATATATTTATATATAACGTCTTATTTATCGGGAATCGTTATTGATTTATGATTTTATGTCATCATCAGACCATATAAGCGTAAACCTTTTCTCCCAGGTGTCTATTATATCAGTCGTGTTAAAAATAATGTATTACTTGAACTATTCATTACAAATTCAATTATAAAATAATCTGCAATTGCTGGCAAGTTTAGTGGTGTAATTTTGTGTAGTGTACTTGTAAGAATAAGATTCTCGATGTTCATTATTGGTGATGATATAAGAATACAAAAACGTACAGAACAATAAAACCTTTCAGAAAATCTGATCTAATTGCTTCTATTTCATATAATATATAAAGCAATATTTTTGAGTAATTAATTTTCTCTCATTTAAGTAGACAAATACTTACAGGCCAGCTAATTTATAAGTCATGTAATAAGGTACATAAACTAAAGCAACACAATTTCCAAAATGGTATAACGTCATTTTCTTTCAATATAGATTTATTCATCAACTTTTAAAGGAAAAATTAATTAACCCAACTAAATGTCGTATAGGTTAGAATTTCTTGTCATTTAATTATTGGACGATACTACACGTAATTCGTTGGAACTGTGGTGTCATCTATTTAGTAGTGTTGTTTATTATCTAGCGAATATCAGAGCCATTTAAATATATTACAAACATAGATAAGGAACAAAATAAGATAAGATTTAAATTAATATATATATTTACTTACAATTAAAGTAATTTTTTTGCAAAAAAGCATCGATAAAGGGCTAAACTTTCGGCTTGAATACGGATACATACAGATACTTTTAAATTTGTTTACTGATTCAAAACGAAATGACCAAGATAAAAAAATTAGTAAATTTACTTCGGGAAGTTCGTAGTAACAACATGTTAATTTAATAGTATGGCTTTCACTAAAAACATATATATTCTGTATTGTTTATGTTTGTTTAACAAAGATTTTATAACATTGAAATATTCAATTTTTAAGTATTCTCTTGTCTATTTTCCTGTAATGTGTTTATAATGAAACAAGGAAATACCTTATGTAAATATTTATTTATTACATAAAGGGCTTTGTATTATACAAATAATCATTAAAGTTATTGAATGTTAAGTTATCTAAACTCAGTTTTGAATGCAAAAAACTATTTAAATTATAATTAAGAATGCTTACATATAAAAATACTGTATACCCAGTCGATCCAAGTGAATCAGCAGAATCAGGAAAGAAAGTAGCCAATATTAACATTTTACTTTACTACAACTGTGAAAACACATATAATCCACCAGATCGAAAGCATTTCCAAAAAGTGCCATATTCTGACCTGAAAAAATCGAAGTAGAAACATTTTGTCTTAAAAAGTAATTTCAAACATTTTATAAATTTATGTATATTATTATTACTTTATTTATATATATATATATATATATATATATATTATATATATTGGTAATCGTTATTGATTTATGATTTTATGTCATCATCAGACCATATAAGCGTAGACCTTTTCTCCCAGGCGTCTATTATATCAGTCGTGTTAAAAATAATGTATTAGTTGTACTATTCATTACAAATGCAGTTATAAGATAATTTGCAATTAATGGAAAGTTTAGTGGTGTAGTTTTGTGTAGTGTACTTGTAATAATGAGATTCTCCGATGTTTAATATATTGGTGATGATATAAGAATACAGAAACGTATGGAACAATAAAGACTTTCAGAAAATCTGTTTGCTTCTATTTCATATAATATATAAAGCAATATTTTTCAGTACTTAATTATTTCTCATTTAAGTAGACAGATACTTACAGGCCTGCTAATTTATAAGTCATGTAAGAAGGTACATAAACTAAAGCAACACAATTTCCAAAATGATATAACGTCATTTTCTTTCAATATAGATTTATTCATTAACTTTTAAAGGAAAAATTAATTAACCCAACTAAATGTCGTATAGGTTAGAATTTCTTGTCATTTAATTATTGGACGATACTACACGTAATTCGTTGGAACTGTGGTGTCATCTATTTAGTAGTGTTGTTTATTATCTAGCGAATATCAGAGCCATTTAAATATATTACAAAATAAGATAAGATTTAAATTAATATATATATTTACTTACAATTAAAGTAATTTTTTTGCAAAAAAGCATCGATAAAGGGTTAAACTTTCGGCTTGAATACGGATACATACAGATACTTTTAAATTTGTTTACTGATTCAAAACGAAATGACCAAGATAAAAAAATTAGTAAATTTACTTCGGGAAGTTCGTAGTAATAACATGTTAATTTAATAGTATGGCATTCACTAAAAACGTATATATTCTGTATTGTTTATATTTGTTTAACAAAGATTTTACAACATTGAAATATTCAATTTTTAAGTATTCTCTTGTCTATTTTCCTGTAATGTGTATGTAATGAAACAAGGAAATACCTTATGTAAATATTTATTTATTACATAAAGGGCTTTGTATTATACAAATAATTTAAGCCATACCCATTGCTGGTAAGACAGATGGTACTTCAGGCTTGGGAACTTTGCTCTCACTGCTCGGTACTGTGGGAAGTGGTTCTTCTTTAGGATCGACAACTGAAACATTATCAGGAAGTGGTTTCTTGGGACCTTGTTTGCCTGCAGGGTCGAATGGCAACATAATTTTAACTTTAATTCCTAACACTCCTTGCCTCAACAATACGTGACGAGTGGCTGTGTCAACATAGTCATTGCATGGATCTCCTGAGTGGATCATGAGTCCATCAATGAATTTCATTGACTTGGCACGTTGTCCTCTGAGTTTTCCGGAAACAACTACTTCACAGCCTTTAGCTCCAGATTCCATAATGAAACGCAATACACCATAGCAGGCACGTCTTACAGCCAAACCTCCGATAAGTTTGTATCTTAAAGATTCAGCTTGAGCAATTGCGCACAAACCTCTGGTAGCAACCTACAATAATAAAGCATATTAATAATAAGAAACAGCTTTCATTAGTCACAATCAAGCACTAGCAAATTAACTCAAAATAACATTATCATTGACATACTTTTTCAGCATATAATTCGACGGAGTTATCAATGAAATTGAAACGCTTTTGAACTACTGCAGTAAGTTCACGAATACGTCGGCCCTTCTCTCCCAAGACATTTTGTGTTCTTGTTGCCATGATAATGATTTCAGTTCGGGTTGGGGTAACTCGAACCTCGACTCCGGAGTACCCATCTTCTGCCAATTCTCTTGTCAAAAACTCATTGAGCTCAGCTTTGAAAACTCCGTCAGCTACGAACTAAAACAGAAATAACTAATCAATCACTTAGAACGTTTTGATATCTTTGACACATGTTTTTCGGTCGTATAGGTTATAACACGTTTTACACTTATGTTTTGTTGAATAACGTTGTTCCTTAAGTCACAAACTTTACTTATATGCACGACAATTCTTACCTTACGTTTTTTGGAAATTGCAGTGGCCATAACTGTGTATTTTAGTTTCTGACAAACGTATACATTTGCAGCACGAAGAGGAAAAGAAATAATTTTCTATGAACTGTACTAAGTGGATGCCGGAAACAAAATACAGGTTGCCAACTTATCGACGTAATGGCGCGAATTATAAATCATTTTTGCTTTCCATATTAACATTCATTGTACTAAGTATTTTTTTAAGTTACTATATTATTAATTATATTTTAATCACTTTAACAAATTATTTTGTAATGAACTATAATAAATACTTATATATTTATTTTAAAAGTAAGAAAATATTAACATTTAATTTAATGCATTCTGGATAAAATCCAAAATTTATATTTAGTAAATATTTTTAATGAATTTTAATAAACTCTATTCGGCTATTAAATGTGAGATCATATTTTCAATCGCAGATTCGATTTTCAAAAGCAATCTATTACTAACTTTCACATTGAACACTTATTGACCCCACTGCAAAAAGAAATGGGAGATAAAATACATTAAGTAAAATAAAACATTTTTATTAAAGTTCATGATACACATACATATAATACATATTCAAGTATACTCTTCTAAATATATATTCTTTATTTTACCACATATTCAATATGCAAACAATTATATATAAAATGTAATTACACCACAATCATGCAAATGCAATATACAGTATCACAATTTACAAGACAATCTTTACATTAGCTTGTTAACAAAGTATAACAATAATAAAAATAGGGTTTATTTTTACATGAAATTACATGATATGTGTATAAAAAGGAAGTTTACAGAAATCATCGAAAGTTGAATTAAATTGTTTTAATTTTATATAAAATTATTTCCAAATAGGCACTTAGCAGTTGGAAAAATAGTAACTTAAACACTAGCATATATGGTGTCTGTGATATTAATCTGGAATGATTCACTGAAGTCTTAAAATAATCTTGCAACATAATAAACTTCGATTTCAGAGTTTAAGAATAATCATATGCTTAAATATAATTGGCTAATATCAATTTTCAACAAGAATAAAATGTGATCCAGTACAGATTATCATGACACATTTTCAATTATAATATACATATAATAACATAATACAAAATAATTAAATGGAATATATTATAAAATAATTGATTTGGTGATTAACTTATATTTTATTATCATTATGTCCATTTCTCTATTCCTCAGGCCGAATCATATATTATTCACATTCCTTAAGACTTAATAAAGATTTACGCAGTAAATCATGTTGAGATCTAGCTTGTTTTATTTCCAATTCTGCCAATTCCACAAGGCTGAAAATCAATAATTTGTTAAATTGTATAAAAAGTATTTACTATAAAAAATTACCTTTTTTTGAAGGCAGCTACTCTTCTAGCACGAAAACCAATAAGCTCATCTTTTCCACGAGCTGACATTGATTCAAACATTTCACAAGCTTTTGTTTGAGCAGTCTCCGCCTAAAAAAGATTTAATTTAACGAACAGTCTTTAGATAATCAAAGTTGTAACATACAGAATACATAAAAATGTTAAATGATTATAAAAAAAATTCTTTACATAATTATTACCTCCTGTACTTCTATAGGCTGCATGTTATTGAAAAAATATGTATATAATTTTTTTCTATTTTATATTGGTTACAATCTTACTTACCGCATGAACATCTTTATTTTTTGATCTAGCCTTTTCTAAATTTCTATTTGCAGTCTCATATTCTGCCAAACATCTGCAAAAATTGGTTTTAAAATAATGTTATAATTTTAGACTATAAATTCAAAACTAGACAATCTTAATTACCTTAATCTTCTAATTAACAATGCCTTAGCTGCATTGCTCTCTCTTTGATAATAGCGTAAAGTATCGCCTAGTTTCAGATCTTGATCACTAGCCACTCGACATTCTATTTTCTGTGAAAATATGAATTGAACATTACTTTTATGTTATTACTTTTATAATACACAACACATACCCTAGCTTTCTCAAAAATATCTGCAGTTTTTGCTAGGAACTTCTCCATAGAACTACCTGTTCCATGTTCAGTAATAGAAAATTCTTTCAAAGCACATGAGATTTTAATGTAACAATCGGCCATTTCTGGAAAGTATATTGCATATGTAAAATTCATTAAAATCAATCAATTTTAAACACACAACCAACCTTTATGTTTGTTAGTCATCTTAGAAGTTCTTTGTGCTGCTTCCTTTAAATTAGAATGATATTCACCCAAGAAATTATACTCAGTTTCAAAAAAGTCATTAACGTCCCTCACTGTAGCACCAAGATAAAGTTCATCAGTTGTTTTACCTAGACATCGAACCTAGAAACAAAAATTTAGAATTAAAATACATAATTAAAACCAGACATGTTTATGATTCGAAATCATAAAATACAAATCTCCATTATTAAAGAACTAATATAATAATTACCAATCCTCCAAGATATTCCATTTTCCTTTTTGGACGTGCACAAAGGTCTTGATCATACTCTAAAAATACTTTCAAATGTGAATCATTACGAAATACTGGATGCCCTGCTAAGCGGGTGAGGAAAACCTCATGCATAGCAACAGTCTTTTTGAAAGTAGCAAGATATTCTCTGAAAGAAAATGAAAATATAAGAAAATTAATGCTTATAATTCAGTATACAAAGTTGATCATACGCCTCTAGTTCTTGTTTCATTTTAGCAAATTCTTCTTTAGTCATATTGCCCTCTCCTTCACCTAAACGTTGCAATTTTTCTCTAGAGGCATCAAAGTCTGGCCTCGGTGGGGCTGGTGGAATCTGACAAATAAAAAATAAGTTATAAAACTATTTGAAGAATAGTTAGATATTGTTTTGAACTAAATGTTAAAAAATAAAAATATATTGTACTATACTGTTTTGTACTATAGTAAACATGAATGTGAACTTACAATATAACCTGCATATTCTTCATTTTCTTCAAACCTATCATGTAACCAAATAAATTCTTCATGTTGCCTAACTACAAAAAATTCAGGCTTATTGTATCCACTTAGCGAAGTTTTTGTATGAACTGTGAATTTAACTCTATCTTTCTCAGACAAGGCATCTGATATATCAACCTGGAAAACATATTCGTAAAACACTTTTCAGTAGCATAAATTTGATAAATTTATATTATTATCAGTACTAGTAAGCAATTTTCTGCCGAAGGTGCGGCATCCGCATTATTTTGATTTCCCGGATTTTTTTCAATCACTGGACTTGAAGTATCATCCACTCCGTCCTAAAATAAAGAATTTAGTAAAGATAGTTGAAATTTATAGTACTTACAATTTAAAAAATGGCAAAATATAGAAACAAAGTTATCTTTCCGCGATAAAACATTTACGCCCCTTTCTGACAAAGAACTAATAATTTAAATTGCAGTATAAACAAATCTTGCATAGCACAAATCAATAACTTATTTACCATCATGTTTAAAAATTTGTTAAACCTAAATAAGATTACAAATGTTTATTTCTTGTTAGACAATTCTAATACGAATATGACGTTGACTGTCATTCATGCAGCAAAATGGTGGTTGTTGGTGGCCACAAACACTATCAAACAATGCATGTATATATTAAAAACGGTTCTCACACACATTTATCACTTTATTCAAAATGTTTTTGTTTAATTTTTTACATACCAATAGAAAAAATTTTGGATCTATATCTTTGCATACATGCCAACGATTAATATTAAAACTAGAAAAATTATCCACCGACATTTCGATATAATATGAAAGAAACTGCAGTGATGAATTTAACTTGTTGCTTATATTCGGGTTCAATATTTTTTCAGTTGTGCCATGACGAACACTTTTTTCAAATAAAGGCGCGAAATTCAACTGAATAATATTTGAAACTAGTTGTGTATGGCTTCGTGCCTTTAGGCAAATTGCTGGCACTTTTCGTACCGTAATAAAATGTTTGAGGAATATTAAAGGTTTTCAAAGAGTTTGTTATAAATTCTGTAATATCCTCTAATACTTATAAGAGTTTATACGTGATAATTGATCAAACTCGAGACTTTTGAATTCTTTTCCTTGACCTGAATTTTTCTTGTAGTTGACTTACAAAAATGATTTAATCAATAATAATAAAAGAGCATCTACAAAAAATTTGTGTGTAAATTTGTATGTATAATTTATATTAGTTTTATTATCCTTTTTATAATGGCAAATTCGGTATTATGTGTAAAAAATATAAATGTTTATGGCAATGTCGATTATGGGCAGCCAATATATCCAAGTTTTAGCGACTACCGAACTTCAACAAAACGAGCTTTACGTTATATGCAAAATCCTCCTCATAACCCAGTGCTATTGCGAAATTGTCCATTAACAGCTTCAAGATGCAAGTCCACTGGATTAAGAAGAAAAACTAATTATGATATTGATTTTACTAAGAAGTCAACTTGCCAAAATGAAGTAAATTATCACAGATAAGAGATTATAAATTGTAATATTAGCTTGATTATGAATTCTTTTTAGTACTCAAAATCTGGTGTCGGCAAGGTGAGTCGACAAGAAATCGGTCCAGCGGCAAGTAATATTCATTATATGAGACGTCTGAAGGAGCGTGTTTTTGATGATCCTCCTAGACCGATGAATAATATGATAACAGAGCATCAAAGACAATACAAGTTGAATTATTTTCCAAAAAGTTCTCCTATACCTAAACAAAATTTCACGCTGCAAAGTGAAAAAGCTGATCCATCTTTTCAATTTAGGAGTAATCAACCAGGTTATAGCAGGTTTGAAAAAAAAACTTGAAGTGGCAAACTTTTAACACGTGTCCGGAGGCGTGGGGTTTTTAATAAAAAGATGCTTCAATGATTCATTTATCCCTATTCCAGATATCTGGATCCTTACGCGAGTACATCTGAATTGTCCTACATTCCTTATACAAAAGACGACCAGAATGGGATTGCAAAGAAAGATATAATAACGTTTTACGATTTATTAAGTGGCCCCAAAGGTGCCGAGGTTCCGGTCCTCGAGTAAAGACCCATGTAAAGGCTGATACATTCAAGCCCGTGCAAGATAAAGCTGTTTTCAAAAACAAGTGCTATCAACGTATAGTTCCATTTA